AAGATATTTTGATAATTCTGAATCGAGATTTCTCTAGAAATCAAGTATTAAGGTTTTTCGTTATGGGGAAACTATTGGTAATAGCGGCATTTTCCAAAAATGCACAGCAACTTTGGAATAGCAAAAAATTAGGGTGGACCTATATTTATGAAACGCAGTGTATAATGCGCTAGTCTATCTGTCTGTCTGTCTGTCTGTCACGAAATTCCGTATTGAGCGGACAACAACCTTCTGGGTTCAGGTCAAGTTTGGGATGGGTGTACCATATCTCGAGAAGTAAAAAAACATACATTACCTAAGCGGAGCCCCGCCCACAGTGAGCGTGGCGTGCGTCGAAATGAGTGGTACTGAGGACCATGGTTTCAAATTCAGTCAGAAAACAGCTTCGAGACCGGGGACAAAAGCGGGTATAGGTGTGCGTTGGTAAGCCAGATTGAATTGAGGAGAACCCTCGGTGGGCGGGGCGTCCTCTAAAAAAGCGGTGCTCAGTGAAAATATTCATAAATCGGTTAAGAAGAAGCCTACAGACCAGAAACGAAATTAGTGCAGGGGAGCAATGCCTAAGGTATTTCCAGCACGCATGATGTGAATGGGGGCCCGCCCAATGGGCGGAGCGCGTCGTGAAGCGGACAGCGTTTTCTACAAGAGCTCATAAATCGGCTCCGAGATGACTTAGAGACCGGAAAACTGCGGATAGAGGTCAGGAGGGGAGGGAAAGCTAAATGTCAGGGATGGGCGTGGTTTACATCAAAGTGGGCGGAGTTTGCAATTAGGCTTATAACTCGGTTCCTCGGAGTCCCGCAGTCCGGAAAAAAAGCGTATAAAGGTTGACAGAGGAAAAGGGGTCAACCGCTGTTGGCGGGCGGAGCATGCACCAAGTGGGCGGGGTTTGCCACGGTAATTCATAACTCGGTTCCAATAACTTCCGGAGATGGGAAAAAAAGTAGAAAAAGGTTGGGGAAGACATGATAGTCAACTGATACCAGTTGGAGACTCATGCACCGAAGTGGGCGGGGTTTGCCACAAAGATACGTAGCTCGATTTCGTCCCCTACAAGGCCTCATAATTCTGCTCCGAGTTGACTGAGAAACCTAAAAATATATAAGTAGAGGTGAGAGGAGAAGTAGAGGTTAAATGTGAACGCTGGGCGCAGCACTCCCCGAAGTGGGCGGAGTTTGCCACCACTCTCATAACTCGGTTCCTAGAAGCCCCAGAAGGGGTTAAGCTATTAGTGGTCCAAGTGTGCACCAAAGTGGGCGGGGTCTGCCACAAAAACTCATGTCTCATAACGTCTTCTACAAGACCTCATAATTCGGCCCTGAGATGACTTAGGAACCTAAAAAAATGTAGAGGTCAGAGGAGAAGTAGAGGTTGAATGTGAACGCTGGGTGCAGCACTCCACGAAGTGAGCGGAGTTTGCCACCACTCTCATTATTCTGTTCCTAGAAGCCTCAGCGCCAGGGAATAAGGTGGATAAGGGCTGCCGGAGGGAAAGGGGTTAAATGCTAATGGTGGGCTAAGCTTGCACGAAAAGGGCGGAGTTATGCACGAAACATTATTACTCGGTTTCAAGAAGTCTTGGACACCAGGAAAAAAGTATAGAGGTCAGCGAAGGAAATGAAGTCTCAGTGGGCAGGACATGAGCAAAAGTGGGCGGGGTTACCCATGAATTTCGAAAGAGGAATGTCTCCAAAGCAGCCGTACCTTGGAATATCACTCAGCAGCTCTGCAGTAATAGAGAGAGAACATTGCTTATAGACACGATTTTTCAGCCTTACCACCTTCCGAAAAAAACCTGTCTTGGAAGAAAGACCCTCTCCGAAATCGCCTATCGTTAAAATTTTACTCAGCAGCTCTGCAGTAATTGAGGGAGAGCATTGCCCACAGACAGAAGTTCTCAACTAGAAAACCTCAAAAATTGAAAAATATACCATGCCCCGAAAAAAGGCCCTCTCCAAAGCCGCCGTCGCTTGGAATTGTTGTTTTCGTTCGCACCTAGAGATTGGGTGCTGTCTTTTGATCGATATTGTCTGAAACACGTACCTCAATGCTGTGTAGGAAATAGAAAATATAGTTTGACCTAGTCGGTGTAAATGGGATGTACCGCACGGAAAACTAAAATCTAGAAAAGAATAGTAATCATCCTGTTCGAATCCCCGTGTGATGCACGCGAATGCGTGCGCCAAACTGGTATCAACATATTGTGGTTTGATCTTGTTGTTAATCACGGTTTGCTAGTCTACTTTGTTAGAAATGCTGTGAATATACAAAGATTTGAGGCCGAATATGCATATGCATCTGATGAATGAGTTAACCCTTTGACGACAATGGCACCCACCGGTGGGTGCCACTATGTCGCGTGGGACAATGGCACCCAATGGTGGGCGCCGCCTTAAAATTTCCTACTTTGAGCATTTAGAAGATTTGTAACAGCCCAATAATTATGAGCATGTTCCGTAATATGACTAGAACGACTTACAGAGATGTTTACTATGAGCTTATTTATATAGAATTTTAGAATGTGCCATTTAGCTCGCCACCACATTAATTGGGATTTTAAATTGTTAGGCTGAAGACGAATTACTGATCAGGACTTCTTCGTCGTTCCATGGCCTTCAGATATGAGAAGGGATTTGAAGTTTACCGGAAATTCCCTTGGACACTTAAACTTTCAAAGGTTTTGCCCTCCTTACCTTTGAAACGAGAGTTCCCCGTCCAATTTGGAATTTTCTTAATTATAGTATTAGTATGGAAGCCCAGAACTGCAGTTATAACACGTACACTGTTAGAGTCGAAAACTTTACCAGAAAATTCTTTTGAAGGACAATTTTTCCTAATTTTGAGCGAGAGCTGGGCGCGCCAAAAACAGGTGTGGTCCCACGAGCAAGCTATGTGCAAATCCGCATTGTCGTCAAAGGGTTAATCGGCCTTACCTCAACGATCCCAACATACAAGCAAGTTCTCAACAGAATTCACGTAAGGAGACAGAAACGCGGCCTTGAACGGAAGGATCCGTGAAACATGCCCTGCACAAGAACAATATCAAATAAGTAAAGTAATGGTAACATGTACGTACATCAAAAATATGGCAATTTGAGAGCTCAACCACTTCTATGCAGAAATAAATGAGGAGACTCTGCGAATTAAAAGATGATTAGAGAGTACAGCACATCATGTAGGTGTTCCGAGAAACAGACCTGATGTCACTTATAGCCGAGCTTTCGATTCGGCGTTTGTGCGACACAACGCTTCCTCCTTATACAGTGCACATCAACTGCTTATGCCACCCCCTAATTTTGTAGTTTTCTGACTTGTTTGGAATTTTCGTAAATCGGCACAGCAACCATCGTTTTCGGCGCCTCGGAAAACTAAGAATGGAAAGGTAGGTCAAGCGACTCATTCGGCGCAGCCGTGAAATGTTCTAGCCATAAGTGCAGTCTGCATTATCGTAAGAGAAGGATACATATGAGGAACATAGGTGTCACTGTGTATCAGAAAACCTAAGCAAAGAATACTGCATTAGGGGAATTGTCGACTTGCACTGTATGAACAGACATCTCAGCTGTTCCATAACAGGAAATAAATGCACGAAGTTGGTCAACACTGGTGCCATTTTTCAACCAAGTGTAAAGGAAACCACCACCTCCTGCACCTGCGAGCCATGCAGTATCGATAAGGTTCTCTCTGAAATGGTTGTACACTGCATCAACTGAAAATTGTAGACAACCTAGACTTGATTTGCCAACCTCTTCAGTTCAGCTATGAGAGAAGTTACAATATCTGGTTCACAACCGGTGGCGAGCATTTGTTTTGCTCTGTAATAGAGCTCGATAAGATCGCGAGGCATTTTACCTGAAATATAAAAATGTTAAAGTATGTAAAAACTCACTAACACTGGTCTTGAAGGCCACCATATAATCACAGTTTGTCTGAGCTTTTGAAGAAGAATACTGAGTTAGATTTCCAAAATTTCCTCAAATGTGTGCATTTCTATTTTAGCCATTGTCACAATAAAGCCGCGAAGAGATGTTTTCCTCGAATGGACTGGACACATAGAAGAGGGTCAAAAAAGGTACTTCCTTTCACATTTAAAGGCACGGTCCGGGATAAGGCACGCTCACTTGTTCAATCCCCAACCGTAGTAGACAGGCGGTCAAGCGTGAGCTCCTTACCGTCTTTGAAAATGAAATCACACTAGAAGCCCACTTCACTGACAATCCAAGCCAGGGTTAGTACCGGTCGAGGAAATCCTCGACAGGGGTGGTCGTACATATCAGGCTGGGACATGGGAGTTGTACTCGTGGGGTTCAGTAACATCAGTGGTGCAGTTAGGATAAGAGGGTGTAGCGCAGCAGATATGTGAGGAAACATAGGGGATAAAGGATAAAGGATAAAGCATTTGCCGTTGATCAACCCTTTTTGGGATGCGGTACGCATTCTACTTCCATTTATATATCGCAGTGGCGTTTGAATGGGGATGTGGCCTATACGATGACTTGCGGGGGCCAGCCGATGTACAAGTCAGTGTTTTTATCCTCCCAGACAAGTCTGGTACCAATTAACTGACCCCGGAGAGATGGAAGGCTTGGTTGGCCTGGGCGACTCACGACCCAGGATTTGATCCTTGGACTGCTCGCATGGTGGGCGTGCCACTTGCCACTACACCACTTCCGCCCTTGTGAGGAAACATGATTGAAATATTCTTTGCAGGTTCATTCGCTGCATCGTTCTAACTTCGTGGGAAAGAGGGATTTGAAAGCAGTACGAGCAAGGAAAGTGCACCGCCGCAAGGAACGGGGCCACACGTGCACACACTCTACAAAGGTACCTCCTTTATATTAAGAAAGAAAAAAGCTTTATAAGCGAAATAATTAAAATGGTTCGTTTATGCCGCCCGCTCCATCGCCCTTAATACCCCGTTGAGAATAGCACTATTGTTAAGCACTGCTGTAGCAAAAACGACAACAGTTCTAGAAGGTCTGGACAAATATACAACTTGGGTTACAGGAGTCACGAGATGTGCTACACTTCCTGTCAACAGGTCAAATCATATGTATAAACGCCTTTCAATAGATTTTTGCAATTTAATTGAGATCGGAAGCATAGCCTATATTGAGAAGAGATCGGACGATGATGATTGTCTCTTCTCTTACTGCTTAAGTTGAAAAAGTGTATTCTAGACACATTTCGAGCGTTGCCATCGAATCGTACCTGCAATAGTGAAGAAGGGAGCGGGCTTTTGAGCGGCCCAGAACCCCTCGATAGATCTTCGACGCAAATATCTCCTTACTGGACAATGTAGAAGGAAGCTAAACATACTTTTAGAAAGCGCAAACCTTCCGTTTCCAAAACTGTCTTCGTCTTTTCAAGGTCTTTCGACATTAGAGAGATATTGCCTTTCAAATGGCCAAAACCAAATGAAAATTCCGGCCTCCTCGACGTTCCTTCTACGGTTCTTGAGAGGCTATATCTCTTCGAATGGAAGGATTCAACAGCAATCAAAATACTGCCTGATAGTAGCAAAGTTCAAAAGGTTGGGAGCCGGAGGAATGGAACCTTTTCATCGAGAGTGTAGATTTCGACGGTTTTTCTTTCACGACTAATCTGACCCAGGGACAAATCGCGCCACAGCTGCCGTTGAATCGGCCGTTGATCGATACACTCGGCTGTTGTGATATACTCAAACAGGATTTAAGATTCAATCGCAACCAGGGTCAACCCTACGTTGTAACCAGTAACAACGGGGAGTCGTACCTGGTTGAATTTATAGGAGGGGGTCGTATCCGCTCTAGTCGCATGAAAGTAGATGAGAGTTTGTGGGAAAGTGGAGTTTTCACAAGTAGTAGGCTAGGTGAGTTGGGAGCGCATGGGAGAAAAATTCGCCGTTTCAGTGCGCGTATATACCTTCCTTAGAAAATGAAGCCGTGGGATTACAGGTAATTTGGGGAATTCTGGTAAATTTTTACTGTTTCATAGTGGGTTCTCCCCCCCCCCCCACTCGACGGCAATTTTGGAGGAAAAAGTGGGCGGAGTTTCGTGGGTTGAGTGGTACCAGAGTTAAATACCATTTTTGAAAAAGTAACAACGATAGGACTGACCCTGATCGCAACCCGTGCCTTGAGGATTTCTGTGCATATCTAAGGGAACCAGCCTTTGGAATCACACAAAGTTAATGCCTCTTTCCTCGAGTCTATATTTCAGCAAATACACAAAAGTGTGCAGCGATGAAAGAAAGTGCATAGATGACAAGAGAAGATGTTTACAATATTATTTTGCAGGGTTTTTTTAATTAATTAGTTGAGTCAATTGCGTATGCTCTGTTTCAGAGGGTCGTTCCTAGACCTAGATTCCAAGGGGAGGGGATCGTACTTCTGCGACCACGTCCTTGACACGATTTTAACCCTAATCTAAGCCTCCTTCTGAAACCCCGATTTCCGTTGCCATATGCCACGTGACGCAGCGAGAAAGGAGTCGCATTAGCGACAGTGGTTGCATGCAGTTCAGTGTCACTAGCACTGGAGCAACTGAACTGGATTCGTGACACTCGTCCAACAACCCCTTCCCATCCCAGGGTATAATGCGGCTAAAACAAAGAAGGCTCTTTATTTGAGGCGTAGTGGGGGAATTCTCCTGCTTTTTCTTCTCTAGACTAACTAGCCCCAGCGCATTGTTGATCACTATTACAAACCCATTTTATGATGCGATTGCTTTTGAACCGGAATTAATTACACTTTTTTCACTTTCCTAAATTCAAACCGATTGAAGCCAGCTGAATGGAGTGCGCGTTCCATTCTATAAAAAACTTCATAAAAGCCTTTCACCCCGACGATATAGAACTTTCCCACGCAAATAGGTGTTCGGTTCGAACTCAACGAGGCCGTCGACGGTCTTGGCGTTACAAATTTATCTGAAACGATTGCTGGAAGGGGAAATAGTAAAAAGTACATAGGGGAATTAGTGTTCTGAGAAGCTATTCATCAGTTATCGATTGATGAGATCACGCAGAAGCTTCACGCTGAAGCGAGTACGATAGCAAGCGGGCTCGACGGTGATGGCAATGCCGTCATATTCTCATGACGGTGAGGGCAGTGAAGTATGGGACTGATTCTGTTCGAGGGGGAACATCTGAAGAACATTTTGCCGTAAAACTTTCATCAACACGGCATCCTGTGACGACAAGTTTGATGATGTGCGTGATTGGCAAAGAGATCCTTCCAACGCCGCACGCCGCCCCCCCCCCCCGTACAGCCCTTGCTCTTTTCTCTGTGCAGCTCTTTTTTGCCATCTATACTGTCGTCCTTTAGCATATTCTATTCCTGCCTTCTTATAGCAACGCGTTTACTCCTCAACCGGTATTTTCACTCGTGTACCCGTTATAGTGGTATTACGTAATGGTGTACTTAAAGCACGATTCCAAACGAGGTCGTGTTGAAGAATCTATTTCGTGGGTGGGATAGAGTAGCCCAAGATTATTACAGATGTGCCGTTGCCGCGGCTCGAAAGTGCGCGACAACTGCTTCAAGGCCTTACAAAGTGATCTGGTGGAAGCTAATGTAAACTTACGGACGAGATCTTTTCCCCGTGCGCACCCCACGTTACCCAGCTGTATTGCGGTGCAGCGGCTAATCAAATACGTGCGGGCTAATTTGAGCCGGAAAGCTGGTTCGAGAACTCATCCAGCCCGCCTCCTCCCATATTTCAGAAGGGAAGAGGAGAAATACTTAATGGCGACTTTGTCGGTGGTTTGCTTTAATTTTTTTCAGACATCCGTAATTTCATTATCGACCGCTGCTACCTCATAATTTGACACGTTGACGACAACGCGCGTTTTGGGCTTTTACGCCGCGTGGGACCGCGGCAATTTTGCAGGCGCTGCCGCCTCACATAAAATCCGTGAATTTCGAGCTTTAAATAAGCAAAACTCGGATGAAACAAAATGTTTCGGGTGATATTCGATGTTTTAAACTACAGAAGGGACAACTGTAAAAGCTTGATCGAGTTGAAGTTTTCCGGCAATAAAAAGACGAGTTTCAGTTGCTTTTGCTGTAGTGAACCTTAAAATTACTTTTCACACAGTTGCTCCACTAAATACATATATCTTGCTATATGTGTAGGTCTGTATTTACTTCTTGTACTCTTTTTCATGACCAAGGTTGTCGGAATATAAAAAAACTAGGGATGAGCACAATTGGGAAATCCGTAGGACTTTGAAAACTTTCGCTAAAAAGGAGCATATTCAACCGTTTGATGAACCTCGCCGTGTCTAGTTATACTATGGTGTGGTCTATAGAATAGATGCAAAAAAATTAGAAAAGAAGTAGCGCATGCCGAAAAAAATTAAGGCACTGTTCAACTATTACAGCCCCAGAATCTCAAATTATTTTTCGTCGAAACTTTCTCTATGGGGTATTTCGGTGCCCTGATTGCGAAAATGACATTCGTTTTTGGCGGTGACGCCATCTGGCGCGAGTTGGCGCCACCTTGTCACGACACATGTTTTCACCAAATTCAGAGTAAAGTTCTGTATAGGGGTTATTTGATGTCCTGATTACGAATATGGCATTCGTTTTTGACATTAACGCGCTATTTACCGCATACTTCCCGCTTTTGTGGGCTCTCTCACCTATACATAGCGCCTTGGGACTCAGCTTAGGGGATATGGAGGCTTGGAATGAGGGAATCAGGCACCGTGTGACGAAGATGGAGCGTGTGAGATCACAGGGTAGGGGGCTCACTCACTGATATCCTTCCTCTCACCCAAAGGCTTAGTCCTGATCGCGATCTAGTCACTAGGAGGGCGCAGACGAAGAGAGTAAAGCGCTAGCGCCAAGAATGAATGTCATATTC